TTTTTAATACCAATCTCCTCTCACCTTCCTGATCTCTGGACAGCAGTCTCAGGGATTGAGGCTGTTAGATCCAGCCTTTGCAAGTCCAGGGAGGAGCAGAGGTGATGGGAGCTGTGTGACTGTCCATGACAGTAACTAGAAACAACCCATTTCTGACTTGCAGAGGGTACCAAAAAAAGTCTGTTGCAAACCATATGGCTCATTTTGGGATACAGAAGGAGGCATGTTACTGCTGCAAGCATTTGGTTGCCGAGCAAGGCTTCAAAACACATCTGTTAAATGTTGCCCATGGAAAGCCCTTGCTTCAGCAAGCAGCTGATTATCTACAGGGAGGAAAGGGAAACATTAAAAACAATTTGATAGTCCTCTCTTGTAAATGAAAGAATAGTAAACATTCTTTGGCATCCTGGATAAATCCATAGCACAACGCTAGGCCACCTGGTGATAAACGGCATCAGTCGATTCTGCTAGTGCATTTTCAACCCACTATTGAATCCAGAAAACTCTGGGGACTGAACAGGCTTTGCTGATCCCAAGGGATGGCTAGAACAAAGGTTTGGAGAAAAGCACTTTCGTGGAGCAAATGGTCCTGTAAGGAAGTGATTCATGTGCTGGAGCATATGTGGCTCGTGCGGTGGTCCCAGCTGCATCCCAACCCCCCATCCTGCTGGATGTGGCTGGCCAGGTGTGCTGGTCTGCCCAAGGAAGAGCCTCTTATCAGAGACAAGGAAGGCTGTGTGTGCTTCACTACCCCTGCTGTAACCAAGCTCTCAGCATCAAAGGGCTTTTTTGGGACTGGACATTCAAATTCTTGCAGCTGGGGACAGATTTTTCCGAAGCATCTGGGCTCCCTGGCCCTTTCTCTCTCCAGGCAGCTTTGGTGGCTCTAAATGCATCAGAGTATTGTCACAGCAAAGTGACAGGAACAGATTGGAGATGCCACAATGTAAATCCATCAGGCATGGGTTTCCTAAGGACGGCTGAGGGCTGCATCACCCTCTTCTGCCTGTCTGATTGCCCCAGCTCCATCCTAATGCCAGCTGGTGCAATGCCAGTTGCTTTGCCTGAAATCCCTGCTGTACCCCACAGAGTCTGCAAGAATTCTCCTGTTTCCTTACCCAGCTCTGCACCAGAATTTTGTCTCCTTTCATTGATGTCATTTGAATGAGCCCGGTCAGTTCTTTCTTGGGCGAGTTATCTCTTTGTTCCTTGGAGCTGCTACAGAGGAAGGAAAGTCACCAGGGACTGTGTGGAAGGAGCATCCCCCACTGGCCTGAGTGAAGTGAACTGCTCTAAAGCTGCTCAGATCTCAGCCTGAATGAAGTGAACTGCTCTAAAGCTGCTCAGATCTGCAGTGCAGGTGGGAGCAGGTGAGCTGGGGCATTCTGCCAAGTACCAGGCAGGTGTTGCTGCTGGTGTAACACACCCTCTCTCCTCGCTTCCCTCGCTGTCTT